TGCAATGGCACATGTGACAGATCTTCCTAGTGGTATCTGAACAACTACTAGAAGATGGCATGCTGAGCTATATGACTCTCATCCAACATGGCCAAATTTATATCCCCTTGAGATGAAGGCTTTTCATATGACAGCATGCATTAACCAGACCATCCATGGAGGTTTCTCTGCATTGGCACCCACTGTTTTAAGTTTTGTGACATCTGAACAAGGTCTGAACAATTTTTTCCACCTGTCATTTTTGCATTCTATTTGATTGTGCTGCTCTGATTTCAGTCTCCACCAACCATGTATGTCTTTAGGATGAACTCTTCTTTTTTTTAACTTCCCTTTCTCTGTTATTTAGACAATGTCTTTTCTCCCCTATTAATGAGTGCTTCTGTTGAGCTTCGTTTGGTCATGCTTGCTACGGACTTACAACGTTCAAGCAACTGTCAAAGGCCACCATGAAGACCTGCACTTGACACATTTCAGGGACTATTAAACAACCCTTAATGACCACGATGAACACAATCACCATGCTTGTATCTTTTGCATATATTACATTTCATGTTACAACCTTCCTGTAAATGTCTTGCTAGTGAAGCTATGGTCCATGAAACCAGATGCCAAACAAAATATCTTAATTTTTAAGATGTAAAAAAAGAAGAAAGGTCAAAATCCTACCGTTTAGCATAGTAAGTCACACTAAGGTTAAAGAAGGCCCATAGAATCAGTGAGGCCTACTCTAACTGTGATTTACTATGCTAAAGTAAATAGACTGATTTGGCTTAAGGAACAGAATTCTAGCTACCTCTCCTCTCTCGCTCTCTCTCTCTGTGTGTGTGTGTGTGTGTGTGTGTGTGTGTGTGTGTGTTTAAAGATGAATTTTTCGCACTACTGCTTTGATTGGAATATTAGTACCTGTGCTCTCCATTTTTGTATTTTCCATTTCTCAGAGTGTCATTTTTTTTTAAAAAAAATGTACACTGGCTGTTCTTAGCTTTAATATTGCCTTTTAAAGATGTAAGATGCCTCTTTATACTCTTTGTTCTTAGCTTTAACTTTTCTCTTTTAATGATGTTAACAACCATTGTATACTCATTGTTTTCAACTGTTGTAAGTCACCTTGGAGCCTTTTCAAGGAGAAAGGTGAGGTAAAAGTGTTTTAAATTTAAATAAATAAATAAATAAACAAACAAATAAAATAATATAACATGCAATACACAGAGACCACCCACCTATGCTACACAGAAATTACCCATGGAGAAATATCTGCTGATATCAATGAAACAAAAATGATAGTGCTTTATTAGTGTATTTTTTCTGTGTGGACACTCAAGTGTGGATCAGCAAAGAAATCTCACTTGGAAGTCAAGGGTCAAATTATACGTTGCAGATAACCCGCCATTAGAGCTAAAAATCGCATTACAATGGGGTCTTGACTTGAGAACTTAATCTGTATTGGAAGGTGGTTCTCAAGTCAAAAAGTTCTCAGGTCAAATCTGCATTTCCCATAGGAATGCATTGAAAACCATTTGATCCGTATCTGCTCTTTTC